AGTTGTGCACATGACCGGCATGTTCCTCTTCGCTGCACAAAATGGCCGCCAGAGCTAAAAATAGAAAAATCTTGTCGGGCCTTCACAGGTCAACTACTGGTGGGATTTCAATCAAACTATACAGGAGTGATCAGTACCATTCCTAGTTGTGCTCATTACCAGCATGTTCCGCTTTGCTGCACAAAATGGCCGTCAGAGCTAAAAACAGAAAATTCTTGTCTGGCCTTCACAGATCAAACTACTTGTGGGATTTCAACCAAACTTTACAGGAGTGATCAGTACCATTCCTAGTTGTGCACATCACAGGCACATTCTGCCTCGCTGCACAAAATGGCCGTCAGAGCTATACATAGAAAAATCTTGTCCGGCTTTCACAGGTCAAGCTACTGGTGGGATTTTAATGAAACCATACATTGTTGTGGGAGACATATGTTTTTGTGGCAAACACCCTTCTAGTTTATTTATTTATTATTGCATAAAATTAATGCCCAAATAAAGATAACTTCAAGATCAAAATTTTAAGCAAAACAGAAATCATTTAATAAAAGTTTCACAATTCTTTTCGACATTTTATATACAAAATCCCAACAAATTAAAACATTTTGAAAAATCATACCTATACAGGGAAAGACACAGTTATGATGAAAGAGTTATAATAAGAAATAAACAGACACACGTGTTTTCACACCTGCATAGATAACAAGAGCTGTCCGTAAGACAGCGCGCTCGACTTTTTTATTGCTTGCCAATAAAAAAAGTTTTTGCAGTAAAAGGCAATACAAGAATCTCTGTATTTTTAAAGTGAACAATGGCCATGAGCATTAAGATATTTAGTGAAGAATTATTTTACTGAATTGTGTGATACCCTTGAACACTGCAGCAAAGTTTGAAATGTTTAAGTCAAAAGAGGGCTGGTAAGAAAGAAAAAAAATCATGATTGTAAACAAGTATTCCAACTTTCAAATTAATATCTCAAACAGTTCAGTCAAAAAGTGGACTGGTACTAAAAACTTAACCAAGATTCTAAGTCGATAAAAGGCCTTAATTTTTAAAACAAATCCTTGACAGAGTTACCTTCTCTTGCGTACAGATGGGGGTAATGATGTGAAATAGCATTAAAAGTTTCAAAGCAATATCTCAAAGGGTTAAGGCAATAAGTGGATTTTACCCATATTCAATGTATTTTCTAAGTCAAAAAGGGGCATAATTCTGTCAAAAACCTTGACAGAGTTATGTCCTCTTGTCTGTTGATGAAGGTCGTGATGGTAAACAAGTATGGTCAGTTTCAAAGCAATACCTCCAATGGTTTTGAAATAAAGTGAGGTGGTACAAAAAACTTAACCAAGCTCAATACACTTTCTAAGTCAAAAAAGGGCCATAATTCTGTCAAAAACCTTGACAGAGTTATGTACTCTTGTCTGTAGATGGAGGTTATGATGGTGAACAAGTATGGTAAGTTTCAAAGCCATACTTGTAATACTTCTGAAATAAAGTGGGGTGGTACGAAAAACTTAACCAAGGTGTGACGCCGACGCCGGGGCGAGTAGGATAGCTCCCCTTTTCATAGAAAAGTCGAGCTAAAAAGCAGATGACCATTAACTGGTAATTGAATATGTCACTTGTTGGGAGTATATCTTAGACCACATGAAAATATGCATAAAGTTGACACTTAAATTGCTGTCCGGTTTTCAGAGGATTTTTTATGCATGCTTAGCATAAGAAGCCATAAAAAATTGTCCGGTTTTCGAATTCAGAGGTTCCGGTATTTAGAGGATTTTTTTCAATGAACTTATAAGGAGAAAATATGGGACTTTTAAAATCGTCCGGTTTACTGTATCAATTTCAAAATGCCCTTGACCTTCTGTCAAATTATTTCATTTTCACTGATTATGACTATAACTGGCTGTAACTTGGTAATTAATCAATCGATTATTTTCATACTTTGGCAAAATAACCTTTCTGTAAAGGCCTTCTAAAGGGTTTAACTGGCCTTTACCTTATAATAACCTTGGTCAAGGTCAAAGTTTGGATTTTGGTTAAGTTGTCATAATTTTGTTATTTATATACAGATTTGATTCATATATGGACAAAAGAACTTGACAAAACCAACCTGTTGAATCATAACTGTCTATGATTTGATTCATTCTTGTCATATATGAAATTTTAAATTTACTTTATACAGTATATACAATTTAACTATATTCTTTACGAGTACTCTGTACTACAATATCCACCTGCTGATGTGTTTGACTTTTGAAATAAGAAAAAGTCTTATATGGCCCACCTAGACAGTGGCTCTTGTTTTTATTGCCAAATTTATATTGTAACATGAAGCCATTTTTTATTAACATTCTCACATGTGTTATGCTTGAAATGTTTCTACAAAATAGATTTATTAACATGGTTTTATTTTAGAAATATGTGGTCGACAGATTTTCTATTTACATATCATTTCTTGGAATAAATACAGTAATTACACTGATTTGTGTTTTATACACTTCTACTGACATATGCAAGACCTTTGCACGAAAATTGGTTGAATTTTTTTTTAACCAAACATGACAAATATCATTTTCCAACCAATTCCAATGTCATATTTTGAATTGTTTATTCACAATATTTATGATCTTGCTAGGTTTGTTAGTATGTTCTCAATTCATGATTTTCAAGGTTTGACCAGAGTTTCGAGGCATAAATTTCATACTGTATACAAACAAGAGCCACCGCCGGGCGGGGGCAACGCTCGACTTTTTACTTTTTCTAAACGCAAACATAGAAAGGTTTGAACATATCTTAATGTTTCCTTTTTATAAATTAGTTGGTCTGTCTTGTCACATAAGTTTTGTTTATATATTTTGTATATATATATGAATAGAAACATTAAGCAAATTTCTAAAAATAGCAACATTACGCAATTTCTTAAAATAGCAACATGACGCAATTTCTTAAAATAGCAACATGACACAATTTCTAAAAATAGCAACAATGACCCAATTTCTAAAAATAGATAAAATGACGCAATTTCTAAAAATAGCTACAATGACGCAATTTCTAAAAATAGCAACAATGACGCAATTTCTATAAATAGAAACAATGACGCAATTTCTAAAAATAGCAACAATGACGCAATTTCTATAAATAGAAACAATGACGCAATTTCTAAAAATAGCAACAATGACGCAATTTCTAAAAATAGAAAAAATGATGCAATTTCTAAAAATAGAAAAATATGACGCAATTTCTAAAAATAGCAAGAATGACGCAATTTCTATAAATAGAAACAATGATGCAATTTCTAAAAATAGAAAAAATGAAGCAATTTCTAAAAATAGAAAAAATGACGCAATTTCTAAAAATAGCAACAATGACGCAATTTCTAAAAATAGAAAAAATGACGCAATTTCTAAAAATAGCAACAATGATGCAATTTCTATAAATAGAAAAAATGACGCAATTTCTAAAAATAAAAAAAAATGACGCAATTTCTAAAAATAGAAAAAAATGACGCAATTTCTAAAAATAGAAACAATGACGCAATTTCTAAAAATAGCAACAATGATGCAATTTCTAAAAATAGAAAAAATGACGCAATTTCTAAAAATAGAAAAAATGACGCAATTTCTAAAAATAGCAACAATGATGCAATTTCTAAAAATAGAAAAAATGACGCAATTTCTAAAAATAGAAACAATGACGCAATTTCTAAAAATAGCAACAATGACGCAATTTCTAAAAATAGAAACAATGACGCAATTTCTAAAAATAGAAAGAATGATGCAATTTCTATAAATAGAAAGAATGACGCAATTCTATAAATAGAAACAATGACCCAATTCTATAAATAGAAACAATGACGCAATTCTATAAATAGAAACAATGACGCAATTCTAGTTGTTGTTGTTGTTGTAAATATATATATATATAGACACACACACACACACCAATAAATATATAATTATGGTCATTTAATGCACAAATCTGAGAAAATTCAGTAATTTAACCTTCAAGGTCAAGGTCATTAAAGAGCCCAAGCAAATTTGGGTTTGATAAACAACAAGGTCTGGTCCTTAAGAATGTTCTCCCTTCAATAATAGCAAAGTTACAGTCAGTTACCGCCAAAACAATGAAAATTTCAATAATTTGACCTTCAAAGACAATGTCATTAATGAGTGAAGGTCAAGGTCTTTCGGTATATTTTTAACAGTAATCTTTGAAGATTATTATGTTCAAGTTTCAAGACAATCCATTCAAAAATAACAAAGTTACAGCCAATAAAAGCCAAAAAAATGAAAATTTCAATAATTTGACCTTCAAAGTCAAGGTCATTTGTGAGTGAAGGTCAAGATCTGGCTGATTATTTTTAAGGGATATCCTTAAAGATTATTATGTTCAAGTTTGAAGACAATCCATTCAAAAATAACAAAGTTACAGCCAATAACAGCATGAACAAGCAAAAATTGGACTTTTAACCTTGATGGTCAAGGTCATTTATGGATGAAGGTCAAGGTTAGTGTGGTCTACTGAAAGGTCTTGTCCCAAGGGTTGTTGTGGCCAAGTATGAAGACAATACACCAAGAAATAAAAAAGTTATGATCCAGGTACAAGTTTGCGGACGGCAACGGCAACGCCGACCTGACTATAACAATACCTCTACTTTTTTTTTCAAAAAAAAAAAAGTCGAGCTAAAAATTGGACTCATTCTGCTTTGAAAGTAGGAAATTTGAATGATATCAGATTAGAACACCTGAAATAGTTTGCTGTACAAATCTCAAACTTGTATGCAACAATTTGCCTCTATTACATCTTTTGTCTCTCCCATTGCATGTCTGTCGCTTTCAGTACTTTCAGCACTTTGATTACAATATGTATTTTAAGACAAGAGGGCCATGATGGCCCTTATATCGCTCACTTAAATATTAATACTCTCCTTTACAATGAACAAGTAATATTGTAAACTATAAACAAAGCAGATATAAAATATAAATCATAAACTGATATCACAAAGTTCATATTTATATCTGAAATAGTGCAGACTGGTTGCTATTGCTAAGGGAAAACAACAGTTACATAAGAAGTCATTGGTTGCTATACAAAATAAATGGTTTCCTTGGAAGTCAGTGCCTGCTATGTAATTCAATGGTAGATAATGTTTCAGGTATTTTCAGTCTCATTTAATTTTTCAGCAATTTTTGCAGCAATACATCTATAAACATCAGCCTGAAATAAATAGAGAAAAATACAGTCATACAAATAGAATATTGCATATAGGATAAAGCAATCAAGCAAATCATAATCAAATATGCATTGGATGCATAATCAAATATGCATTGGATGCTCAATGAACCTGCACATTTAACAATACATTTCAATTCACTTGGTCAGTATAAGAGCAAGTATTAAGCCAGGCAGTAAGAGCTAAATTTTAATCTTTCTGGAATCTTCACATTAACCCCTTACTTTACCTATGGTGTCTGACAGAAAAATTAATAAAGACACCAGTCTTTAATTTATATTGCTCACCTGATAAGTAGGACTCTAAAAATGACATGGAATAATTAATATTGTTAACTATGAATGAAAAGCAGATAAAGCAGGTATAGGTACAAATGTAAAAACAAGAGCCACCGCTGGGAGGTGTCAACGCTCGACTTTTTACTTTCTCTAAAAGCAAACAAAGAAATGTTTGAACAAAATCTTAACATTTCCTTTTTATAAAATTAATCGGTCTGTCTTGTCACATTTTCTATAAATAGAAACACGCAATTCTATAAATAGAAACACGCAATTCTATAAATAGAAACATGCAATTCTATAAATAGAAACACGCAATTCTATAAATAGAAACAAGTGTTTGATAAACAACAAGGCCTTGTCCTTAAGTATGTTCTGTTATAATATGAAGTTGATCCCTTCAATAATAGCAAAGTTACACAAAACAATGAAAATTTCAATAATTTGACCTTCAAACTCAAGGTCATTAATGAGTGAAGGTCAAGGTCTGTCTGGTTATGTTTAAGGGTTATCCTTGAACATTATTATGTTCAAGTTTGAAGACAATCCATTCAACAAGAGCTGTCGGTAGGACAGCAACGCTCGACTATTCTTAGTGCTTGATAGTAAAAAAAATGCTTGATACAGTTACCTCCTCCTGTTTACAGGTTGGGGTCATGATGGTGAACAAGTGTGCAAAGTTTCAAAGCCATATGTCAATGGACTTTGAAAATATTTGAACTATTACAAAAACTTTAACGTAAATTCTAAGTCGAAAAGGGGGCATAATTCTGTCAAAATGCTTGATAGAGTTACCTCCTCCTGTTTACAGGTTGGGGTCATGATGGTGAACAAGTGTGCAAAGTTTCAAAGCCATATGTCAATGGACTTTGAAAATATTTGAACTATTACAAAAACTTTAACGTAAATTCTAAGTCGAAAAAGGGGCATAATTCTGTCAAAATGCTTGATAGAGTTACCTCCTCCTGTCTACAGGTTGGGCTCATGATGGTGAACAAGTGTGCAAAGTTTCAAAGCCATATGTCAATGGACTTTGAAAATATTTGAACTATTACAAAAACTTTAACGTAAATTCTAAGTCGAAAAAGGGGCATAATTCTGTCAAAATGCTTGATAGAGTTACCTCCTCCTGTCTACAGGTTGGGGTCATGATGGTGAACAAGTGTGCAAAGTTTCAAAGCCATATGTCAATGGACTTTGAAAATATTTGAACTATTACAAAAACTTTAACGTAAATTCTAAGTCGAAAAAGGGGCATAATTCTGTCAAAATGCTTGATAGAGTTACCTCCTCCTGTCTACAGGTTGGGCTCATGATGGTGAACAAGTGTGCAAAGTTTCAAAGCCATATGTGAATGGACTTTGAAAATATTTGAACTATTACAAAAACTTTAACATAAGTGGTTACGCCGACGCCGACGCTCGGGTGACTGCAATAGCTCTACTTATTCTTATCGAATAGTCGAGCTAAAAATAACAAAGTTACAGCCAATAATAGCCAAAAAATGAAAATTTCAATAATTTGACCTTCAAAGTCAAGGTCATTTATGTATGAAGGACAAGGTCTGTCTGGTTATTTTTAAGGGATATCCTTGAAGATTATTATGTTCAAGTTTGAAGACAATACATTCAAAAATAACAGTTACAGCCAATAACAGCATGAACAAGCAAAATTTGGACTTTTAACCTTGAAGGTATAGGTCATTTATGGATGAAGGTCAGAGTTAGTGTGGTCTACTGAAAGGTCTTGTCCCAAGGGTTGTTGTGGCCAAGTATGAAGACAATACACCAAGAAATAAAAAAGTTATGATCCAGGTACAAGTTTGCGGACAGCAACGGCAACGCCGCCGCGACTATAGCAATACCTCTACTTTTTTTTTTCCAAAAAAAAAAAAAATTCAAGCTAATAAGAATTTTCCATTCATGTTTATGGGCTGTGTGACAAAGATGGCCCATATTTGGACTTGTAAAACAACTTTTCTCATAAATAACCAGTCTATTTGGGCTGAAAATATAAAATGAAACCTCTAGAGTGTTTACAAGGTATTTTTCTATAAAGGGGGGCATATGTGTTGTTTGACATTTCTTGTTGCTCATAGCTTTTACTACGACTGTGTCAGCCAAGTGGGACCTAACGTTTAATGTCTATTTTAAGCTCCTGTGCAACCAGAACCACTTATGAGTTTGTAGGTTTTCTAGAGGGCTACCTAACTTTAGATAAAATTCAACAATGAGGACAATAATGAACAACAGACACACTGCCATCACAAAAACAGATTTTGGATTATTGAACCTATCACCTTTCACCATGAGGCTAGAAAAAATACTTGATATAGCTATATGCCTTCCATGACACTGTACCTATTTCATTGCTACTGCAAAATATAAAGAGATCATTTTTTTTACCTGTGGAGAATCTGGCTGAGATATCACTATAGGTCTACCTGTATCACTTGTCTCTCTGATAATTCTGTTCAATGGCACATCACCTTAAACATAAATAATAGTTGCTTTTTTTTCCTTATGAATATAAATCAATTTTTTATGCCCTTGCCATAAAATAGGGTGACATATAATGTTAACCTTTTGTACATGTATGTGTGCATGAGTGTGTGCATGCACAAAATTGTGTCCTGCTAATGTTTAGTTATTACTTGAAGTATTGTCAAAATATAGGCATAATCCTTCACCACAGTCAGGCAATGTGTCACATGCAAGGTAAATGTTTGTCAAAATAATTTTTTTTTTTTTTTTAATTTTTCAGCAACATATGTTGCCCATTTATTTTCCCCGTAATTGGTGCAGTGGGGTCGGAGAGCCATCCCCTACTGTACCTTACATTATCAATTCATGGCATATATCATCATACTATATTTAAAACATTTAAGTGACATTAAGCTCATTTTTTTTCAAAGTCAATATGAGATTTATTGACTATAAATTTCATTATTGACAATAATAATGGTGCTTGACAACAGTTGATATAAGAAAAAGTTTTGGATAAAATATATATCTGCCTAAAACATAAAGACTGTCCCATACTTTTATCAAGTATAATTTTTCCCTCTACATATGTTTCCAAAATGTTCCTTGAGCCATAAGAGTTATGGAATATATTGAAAAACTGAGACGAATCATGGCAAAAATGTATTTCAGCTTTCACTGTTTATATTCACTATTTGCTTTGGATGGGCATAATGTCACTTTAACTAAATAGATACGATATTGATATGCTAAAATAATTATTAATAGCTAAAATGGGGTTTTTGTGAATTTTTAAAGTAGTCTATTGCTGAATTTACATTTTCCTTTATATTCGAATTATATCTACAAAAAAAGACAAAGTAAAAATAACCTCGTTTTAAAACAAAATACTAAAGATATTACTACACAGCAATGTTGCATATTCATGTAAGTTATTGAATTTAATAAAGCAACAGGTATATGGAAAAGGCAAAAACAAGTTTGAGGTTAGAATTCATCTAATTCACAGGAAAATGTTTTCATTTACCTATATAAGTCTTCTCTAAAAAGTAAAAAAGAAAAGGTTGTTGGTGTAAACTTGGAGGATTTACTTCCAAGTTATTAATATTCTCTAAATATTAGTAGAGGTCACTGATGGAAGGTCTGTCAGGTAAGTAGAGTGTCTTAATAATATTAATAATTAAACAAGGGGTGTCTACTACTTAAAAATATCAATAATTACATAGTCTCACTAACTTACTAAATTTTTAAACATTTCCCATGAGCGTTCAAATTTTTCATATTGAAACAGCTGTTTGGCACTGTATTTTTCAGTAGTATAAATAGAAACTATTTGTTTCTTAAAAATTTCCAAAGAAGGCCTTATTTTCTTCAATCTGTTATAGTATATGTACTGTTTTGCTAGCAAAATAATCTTATTTAGGATGATGTTTATATTAACATTCCCAAATAAGATATCAAAATTACTCCAATTAGTGAAATTTATATTACATTTTTCTTTGATATATGATTGTAATTGTTGCCAAAATTGTTTAATAGTTTCACAATTACAAAACAAATGTATTAAAGTTTCTGGCTCATGTTGGCAGAAGTACAGTCATTTTCTGTAATAATATTCATTTTTTTAAGAAGATAGTTTGTGGCTAAAATTCTATGGTTGATTCTGTATTGAAACCAGATCAGTTTTGGGTCTTTTGTTACTCTAAAAACATTACTATATATTAAATTGAAATTCAAGTTATTCATATCGCCTAAACTTATTAATTCATTTTTCCATTTTTGCAATGAATTTGGGTATTCTTCCTTCTTTTTTATCATTCTATATATAGATCTGCATCCTTTTTTATCTTTATTTATAATAGCCAAACCTAAAGGAATGTGGATATTGAATGATTTCTTAGGTAAATGTCTTATATTATTATTCAAAAGAAATTCATTTACTGCAGCTAAAAAACCTTGATATTCCAAATAATTTGTTCTAATATTGAATATACTAATAAAATTTTGCCAGGTGTAAAATTCCCCTTCTTGATTGATAAGGTCCCCTAAAAATATTACTCCCCTAGATACCCATCTGTTATAGTAAACACTAGATCCTGCTACTTTAATGCCGGGGTTATGCCATAAATTGACTGAGTAACTTTGCTGACAAGAATTCAACTCTACATTTGAAGAAATTAAATAAAAACTGTAAAGCACATCTTTCCAAAAAGGATTTAAATCTTGATGTAATTGTATTCTTGCATAATCTGTACCATACTTATATATGTTATTTAAAAAAGGGCATGCACTTTTAACAATATGTAAAAAATTACAATTAACTGTCAACAGTCTTCTTAGCCATGTTGCTTTTAAACTATACATAAAACACTTGAGATCAACCATCTTAAGCCCTCCAAACTTGTATTCCTGTGATATAATATTTCTTTTAACCTTATCTCTTGAATCACTCCATAGAAAATTGAAAAACATTTGCTGGATAATATTTATTTTTGCTAATGGTGGGTTAGGAATACTCAAAATCAAATGATTTAATTTTGACAAAGCAAGGGTTTTAATAACCACTAATTTGCCGAGTGGTGTTAACACTCTTTTTGACCAGCAAGCAAACAACTTTTTAATTTCCTCAATTTTTGAGTCATAATTAATATCAACTATATTAGATAAATCTACTGAAAATTTAATTCCAAGAAGTGTGAAAAAGTTATCTCCCCATGATAAATTGTATTCTGGACAAAGTATTGTGCTACTGTATTTTTTTGACCCAAACCAAATTACTTTTGTTTTCTCCATATTTATATTAAGGCCTGAAATGTTTGCATAAAATTTTAAAGTTAACATTGTGTTTTTTAATGATTCTGACGTGCCATCTAAGAATAAACTAGTATCATCAGCATATTGAGAGAGTTTATACTCTGTACCATTAACACTAATTCCTTTTATATTATTATTATCTCTTATCAATATTGACAGGATTTCTGCGCAAAGAATGAACAGGTAGGGAGACAGAGCATCACCTTGACGACAGCCTCTTTGTAGCGAGAACCAATCTGACATGTGACCATTAACAATAACACATGACTCTATATTTGTATAAAAAAGTTTGATCCATGATCTAACAGAGGGTCCAAAATTAAAAAAACTCTAAAACTTGATGCATAAATTTCCAGGAAACAGTATCAAAAGCAGCTGCAAAATCTATTAATAGTAACAATCCAGGTATATTATTCTTTTCCGAGTAGAACAAGAGATCATAAACTAATCTTATATTTGTCGCCATGAGTCTTCCGGGTAAAAAGCCTGTTTGGTCATCGTTAATGATCTTTCCTAAAATATTTTTTATGCGAAAAGCTATTGAAGAAGATGCAATTTTATAAGATACATTTAGTAGTGAAATTGGTCTCCAATTTTTCAAGTAGGATTTATCTTTGTTTCCTTTTGGAATGCAGGTTATAACACCTTGTTTTTGAGTTACTGACAGTTCACCTATGTTATATGCATGATTTATTGATCTAACTAAAAACATACCTAAATCATTCCAGAAAAATTTAAAAAATTCTACAGTAAAACCATCATTGCCTGGACTTGTATTATTTGACATGCGTTTCAGACTATTCAACATTTCATTGTAAGTTAGGGCACCTTCAATAGATTGTTTCTCATTATCTAGTAATTTTGGTATGTCAGTATTATACAAAATTTGACTTAAACACACTGTTTCTGTATTTTTGAATTTATATAAATTTCATAATGCCTCTTTGTTTCTGTAAGTATTTCTTCCTGTTTTTGTAAATGTTTTCCTGTTTCTGTTATTAAAGAATTCATAAATTTTGAGACATAATTTCTGTTTTCCAAATTGCAAAAGTATCTTGTAGGTTTCTCTCCTTCTTGTATCCATTTAGCTCTTGATCTTATAAATACACCATCCATTTTTTTCTTCCGTAAATCTAAAAGTTCTTTTCTTTTGTTTTCTAAAAGTTCATAATTAGTGTTAGGATGGGACTCAATATCCTTTATTTCTTTTAAAAGTTTATCTTCATTATTGATGTTTATTTTTTTTCTATGAGACGCATAACGAATGGTGATTCCTCTAATAGATAAAAGAAGAGTTTCAAAAAATAACTGGTCATTAATGTTGACCTGAAGTTCATGAAGCGGAACATCATTTATATTTTCATTAATGTTGGAAGAATATTGAATTTTTGTTTCTTTAATGACTTTTTTAACTTCATTTACATATGCTACTTCTTTTAATAAAGAATTGTTAAACTTCCAGTATGATATTCCTTTTTTAAATTTGTCTAAATCGAGTGATATATAAATTAAAGAATGATCCGTTCGGTAACCCGATAAAATTAGTGAACATTCAAGATCTGTATACAAATTATCAGAAATGAGAAAAAAATCTAAGCGTGCCTTTTTAACTGGATTTCTTCTAAACCATGTGTACTCTCTTTTTTCTAAATGATTTTCTCTCCAGCAATCTAAAAGATTGAATTCTGACATAATATTAAAAACTTTATCTCTAGCATTAGGATTATTTAAATGAACATAATTAAAGCAATCCATTTCTGGGTTTAGAATCAAATTGTAATCTCCCGCCAAAATGAAGAGAGAATTTTCAAACTGTGACATTTTTTCATGAACCATATGATAAAAGTCTGGACTATCTCTATTAGGTCCATACACATTTACAAGACTTATATTTTTTTCACATATTTTGCAATTTAAAATCAGCAAATTCCCATTATTGTCCCGGTCAATGCTATTAATTTTACAATCAAAATTATTGTTTATAAATGTTGCTACACCTCTAGACTGGCTATTAAAATTACTAAAATAACATTCGTAACCCCATTGTGCCCTGATATACTTTTCTTCTTGTTGAGTGAAGTGAGTATCTTGAAGCATACATATAGAGTATTTTTTTGCATTCAAAAAATTTAAAACATCTTTGCGTTTACTTCTGTCTCCCAAACCTTGTACATTCATTGAAACTATTGAA